TGTTCATAGTCCCAGTGTCTGCCTAAATATGGCTGTTCAAGTTGGTGATGTATCGCTCATGTCCAAGGCCAATATTCAATTTAGGTACGATCTTATAGCCAATCAGAGAAAGCGCCACAAGTACGCTATCGAGACCTCTAGAATGATTGTAAACACATTCAGAACCAGAGATGATACCAATGAGAGGGTGCCAGGGGCAATAGAACACCTCCAACGCATAGCAGGTCCCATATGCAGCCACGCAGAACATTAAAATTCGCAAGGCTACCTTAAGGTGGAGGTCAAGAGGAAAAAATACACAATATGCCGTACAACAAAGTATCGTACATTACTCGCTGGGAAAAGATACAAGATAAAGACGTGATGCAATACAACTACCAGTGGCACCGTGAAGGCCACTACCACTCATGTTCCCCCTCTTCTTGTGCCAAGGTGGCATGAAATCCTTCCAACTGCAGGAGTGGGTTGATAAAGCCTCAATAGCCGTGGCCATACTAGTAGTAGATGTCGTACTCGGTAACGTAGTGGCACCCACGATCACCCTTCTTCTTGCCCTCGTCATGGTCCCACTGAAAGTCAGGGACGACCTCCTCGAGCGCCTCAGCCCGTCTCTCCTGGATTACACAGTGGTTGATGCACAGCGCCGTTAACGGTGCCTTGTTCGCCTTGCGCTGCTGGACGATGCTCAAGACGAGGTCATATAGGATGCCGAAGCCGGATACTGCATCAGAGAAGTCCAGCATCTCCAATAGTAGGGATGTCAACTTCGGGAAGATCAGCATGTGAATGGGTGCAGGCGCATCGTCATCGTCATGGTTGAGCGCTTGCGCTCGCACGTCTCCTCTGCCATTGTCACCGTGTTTCCTCTTTTGTCCTTTTCCACGGGCCTCTGTATTCGCATGCTTTGGTGGTGTGAGCGCTTCCAGGAGACCGATCGTGCCGCGCCCGGAGACTTGGATCGTGGTGACTTCTGTGCAGTGTTGAAAGATCTCGCTCCAGTTTATCAATTCATTCGGGCCGAGAGAGTACATGGAAAGATATTCGATGTTGGAAAGGGGCAGAATGATGCAAGCTCGCCTAAGAATGTCCACCCTGTTGTCGAGTTCATTAAGGTGGTGGAATGATAGACTAAGCTCGGGGTCGCTGTCCGCTTGAATGAGGGGAGTGTGGGGAATTGGTGGTATAGCGAGGGAAGTAGATGCGACCATCTCTATCGCTCGATCCATGGAGTCTAGGCTAATCTTCAAACCTCGGAACTTGGCGGGAGTAGGGTGGTTGAAGTGTGCCGAGAGGGAAGAGAGTATGTGATGGTCATTGTGGGTTGTAGGGTTCTCGGACGTACAATCCAAACGAAGAGTTGTAAAAGAAGACAGCTTGAGCATTGTCAACAAGTTCGTGACGCGGGAACTTGACCCACTAAGGCACAAGCGTGAAAGGCGTGGAAAGTGGATTGTTTGACCACCTGAGGATTGACTAAGCGTGGCAGGCAAGCAGTTCTCGAGCGTGAGAACCTCTAATGACAGACAATTGGTCAGGAGGTCAATCAACTCATTCAAATATTCAAGCGGGGAAACACGAGCGTGGGGAGACTTCGCGCTGTGAGTGACTTTCAGCTGTGTCAGTCGGCCACGAGGAATAAGTGACCAAGGGACGTGGATATTGGAGACGCAGAGGATCCGTAAGTTCGGAAGCGGCCCCTTGAACGAGCGTTCATAAAGGTACTTAATTGAGGAGGCCTTCGGCGCGCTGAGGTCGAGGCGTTCCAGGGCTGGAGCTCTCTGGGCGTTGACCTCTTGGATGACTGGTGGATGAAGAAAAGACAGACCGCGGAAGTAGAGTTCGCGAGTGTGGGAGAGGTGAGGCGTGAACAGGGAGAACGCTTCCTTACTAATCGGCCCGTCGAATTCAATGACGAGCGGTGCGTTCCTCGCACGGAACAGCCGCTCGGCACTCCAGTCCTTGTTCCGGGGCAAGGTCGAAAAGTGGGTCTAGAGCGTAGACTCGTCCAGCGCAATCTGACGCCATCGTCGGCATACGTGTGTGACACGGACCCAGACCAGCGAATAGGGCTGCTCCGAGAATGCGGTGAAGTGGAAGATGCGCGCGAGGATCTCCGCAGGGAGGCTGGAGATCGGAGCGACCGTGTTGCGGCGCGTGAACATGGAGAGGATCAGACCCTTCACGGCGTCAAGGTCGTGGTCGACTGTGGCAAGGGCTGCCGCGCGCGCCTTGGGCGTTTTCAGGGCAGATTGGAACTCGTTCAGCTCGAAATCGAGGTGGGCGAACACGTCTAAGGGTGTGGGTGATGTTTGAGTGTTGCTAGACACAAGGAGTTTTGGGGTTTGGCATCAGTCAGAGCGGACATACATAGAGGACGCGTTCGTACGTTTTGTGAGGGGCGATGATGTCGCTTCTCGTGTCTGTCGTTGTTGGAGAGGTCGATGATGAGTTACGTGTTTTTGTCTGACGATGCCGAGCGACGCCCTCCATTGTGAAGTCCGTGTTGATAGCTGTAGCGATTCCAAGGTGGAGTACTGCAGAAGAGAGGAGCACCGCTCAGCGGGACGGGTCCCTCAACGGAACACCACAAATTACTCGCTCGTTCTTTACTCAGCTGCTACTAAACTTCGTGCACTGTATATAGTACCCGATATCTGCATGTTCTTGATGTTCTTGATGAAAAACGCACTGTGTAGCGAGATAATAATAAAAACGCTCGCCGGTGTCACTCGCCGGTGTCACACTTGACAAACCGTGACTGTTCCGTTGAGGGGCACGTGAGTTGTCTCTGTAGGTCCTATCACGGCGGGCAAGAGAGGGTAGGCAGAGTCCGCTTATAGTAAACTAATTGGCCATTTAAATTTGAATATACTCGCTGCTAAGGGGACTCAAATGTTATCTTAGATTATATTAAGACAATTGGGTCATTTGTTGTTTCAAGTTACATGTCACATTATTTTAAATATGGGTACATTTATTTATTTTAAATAAGCAGGGACTACAAAATTTTAAATAAACATATGGCCGGCAAAACATTTATGCTGTGGAATTGTATTGGGGTTAGAGTTGTGCCGGCCATAAGTGGGCAATTCTTATTTAAAATTTGTAGACATTAGTTATTTAAAATAAATAGATGTACCCATATTTAAAATAATGCAACGTATAATTTGAATCCAACAATTGACCCAATTGTCTTGATATAATCTCAGATAACATTTGAGTCCCCTTACCGGCGAGTATGTTCAACATTAAATGGCCGATAAGTTGACTATAAGCAGACTCTGCCTACCCACTCTTGCCCGCCGTGTATGGAAATAGTCACCTTTTGGCGAAAATCGGCTGCAACGACGAACGTGGCTTCTGCAAGATCTCGCTGATAATTCAACTTTCACACTCGGCTTTCCCGTAGACTGCACTTCCCCTAGCTCGTACGACCCTTGACGTCTCCATCGCAAGAGCCCTACTCCGCACTGTATCTCCGCACCATTAGGTCCATCACAAGTCCAAAATCTCATCCGGGACGCTGGAGACGATTTCCTATTTGGTATCGCCGCCGAGTGTTCGAATCCACTCACCTGTGTCCTACGCAGTATCGCGAACTGGTCGCATGTGATGTCCCGGCCTGCCTATTTTCAGGAGTTTCGGTACAAGGCGTCGAGGATTATCTTCCACGGGCAGATACGAGCACCTATCCCGCCGTCGTCTTAGTCTCTTTATCTTGGCAGTAGTGTTGTCCGAAGTCTGGGTCTCTTTCCGTATTTCATCGTTGGGCCACGTGCGGTATGGTCCTCGTTGTTCCATATACTATTCCTCCACCGTCAGACTATCTGACTCTACTCTTCTTAAACGGGATTGAACCTTCACTAGATCTCTGCTGAGAGCTGTTCCGGTTGTGCTCCCGTTTGCTCCTTCGCATCGTAGACCTATGGTGATTTTAGCACTGATTGTGTTATTCATGTGCGTAGTGCCGACCTCTGAGCACGACTAATAATACTTTCGCTCAGACCTTGTCGCCAATTAGAGAGAACACAGGGTAGACTATCCCGGTCTCTGGAAATGTACTATGACCACATCCACAATCCCAGCTGCAAAATTAACTTGAGCAAGGAGTGATCCCGATGAGAGTGGGATAGGGACAAGATTGTCCAAGACCGCGTTGCGTGGCCAAGTCGAACGCCCCAGCCCGCGACAGGTTCGTACAACAGAATTAGTCATATACAACTACACAGTGCATTTTCGCAAGGCCGCCCCTTAGGGCCGAGGACAAGAGAAAAAAAATCCCGACATACAGTACAGCAAAATATCCTACATCAACCGCTCGCCAAAAAAATACAAAGACGTAACATGATACTGACACAACACCCACCGCGACGGAACACTACGACAACCCACCCTCTCACCACCCAGATTCCCAACCGATTTGCACCAACCCGACGTGAACACCTCTCACTGCACGCCAGGATCAGTAATTTCCACCACGTTATAGTCGGAAAACTCATCGAACGCAGCCACAATTCTCGCCGCCGCCGCCACCACCACCCTCCTCGCATCGCCCTCCCTGTGGTCCCAGCGCAAATCGCGGACAACCGTCTCGAGCTCGCCGGCCTCGTCCACGCTCATCACGCAGTGGTCGATGCACAACCTCGCCAGCGGCGGCTTAGTCGCCTTGCGCCCCTCGACCGCGCTCACAACGAGGTCGAACAGGACGCCCAAACCCGGCACCACATCGGCGAAATCATCGTTGTAGTCGTTTTTATTGTTTTCTTTATTGTTGGACCCCTCCGCCTTTGCCATTGTCGCCGCCTCTCCTTTTTCGTCCTTTTCCGGGGGGCGTCGTATCTGGCGATTTGGTGCGCCTGCAGGATACTAATTTTCTCGCGCCATAGACTTGGACCGTACAGGTCTGACCGTCCGAGTATCAGGTATATAGTAGACATATCAACATAACATTCATGTGACGAGCAGGACTTCCGAGTCACCACATAAAGCAAAAAGAAGTTGAACACCAGCAGGATTCGAACTTGCACGCTCGAGATGCAGATATCTTGTCTGCCTTCTCCGGAAACAGATTTCATGTCTGTTACCGTACCACCTCAGTTATGGTGGCTTGTGCAAAGTAGAGAGGGTATATACTACGAACAATACAACAACGGATTTCAATTCTCTCGTCTTGAGCATTCCTGCAGTTGATATATCTTAGAGGAAAGCCACGTTTACAATATCCTTCTGTTGACGATCACAGACGGGGTATTATTCGTTGCGGAGCAGTGTTTATCTAGCAATGTCGGACGTGCAGGGTCGGTCATCACGGTCATGCGTCAACCACTGGCAATCACCGCCGGGCGCTGGACCGTTCGGACCTCAACACCCCGAGGTAAGATAAGAACGTTACATCAAAATCGAGAAAAAAGAAGTCAAACACCAGCAGGATTCGAACCTGCACTCCCAAAGGTGAGCAGATTTTATGTCTACATTCTCAAAGGAGAACAGATTTCTAGTCCGTTACTGTACCCCCTCAGCTATGGTGTCTTGTACACGATGGTGACCTGGAAATCCTATCGCATGAAATGGAAAACATCTTTTACTGTAATTTGGAATGGGGCTCTAAGTGAGCCACTAAAGCGAACGGGTCAAAAGACGTAACATGATACAAGTACAACTAGCCAACACCCATTCTACTCAGGTCCCCACCCATTTCGTGCCGCGCAGACGTAAACATCTTCTCACCGCACGCTACGATCAGAAATGTCCAAGCGGTCGTCGTCATAGCCGAAGCTGTAATAGTCGTAGTCGTAGTCATAGTCGTCATTGTCCTCATCCCCGTCCTCCGCGCCACGCTCGTCGTGGTCCCACCAGAAGTAATGAACGACTTTCTTGAGCTCGCCAGCCTCCTCCACGCTCATCGTGCAATAGTCAATACACAGCGTCGTCAGCGGCGTCTTTTTCGCCTTACGCCACTGGACGGCGCTCATGACGAGGTCGAAGAGGACGCCCGAGCCGGGCACCGCATCAGTGAAATCCAGCCTCTCCAAGACCAGGGACGTCAGTTTTGGGAAGATCGGCACCCGCACGGGTGTCCTCATTTGTCCCTTTCCACGCGCCGTCGCATTGGCGCGTTTTGATGGCGTGAGCGCCTGCAGGAGACCGATTGTACCACCCCCATAGACTTGGACCGTGGTGACTTCTGTGCAGTGTTGAAAGGTCTCGCTCCAATTTTTTATGAAATGGTTCGGGCTGGTGGAGTACATGGAAAGAAATTCGACATTTGAAAGGGGCAGCATGGCGCACGCTCGCCTGAGAATGTCCATCCTGTTGTTGAGTTCAACGATACCCTGGAATGACAGACGAAGCTCGGCGTCACTGTTGGCTTGAACGATATGGGTGTGCGGGATCGGCGATATGGGGAGGGAAGTAGATGCGACCATGTCTATCACCCCACCCACGTGTTCTAGCTTAATCTGGAAACTCCGGAACTTGACGGAGGTGGGGCTGTTGAAGTGTTCCGAGAGTAAGGGAAGTATGAGATGGCCGATGTGGGTTGCGGTATTCTCTGACGTACAAGTCAGACGTAGAGTTGTAGAAGAAGGTAACTTAAGCATTTTCAACAGGTTCGTGACGCGAGAACTTGACCCGCCAAGGCACAAACGTGAAAGCCGTGGAAGATGGATTGTTTGTACACGTGAGGATTCGCTAAGCATAGCAGGCAAGCAATTCTCGAGAGTGAGAACCTCCAATGCCGGGCAATTGACCAGAAGGTCAATCATCTGATTCAAATCGTCGTGCGGAGAAACTTCAGGGTCAGAGGTGAGAACCTCTTTGTTGAGAGTGAATTTCAGCTGTGTTAGTCGATCACGAGGAATAAGTGACCAAGGGAAGAAGGTTTGGGAGACGCAGAAGATCCGTAATTTCGGAAGCGGCCTCTTGAAGAATGAGTGCCCAACAAGGTGCTTAATGACCATTGGGGAGGTGTTCGGCCCGCAGAGTTCGAGGCGTTCCAGGATCGGAGCTTTCTGGATGCTGATCCCTTGGACAGCTCCCGAATGAAGGATAGACAGATTGCGGACGTAGAGCTCGCGGGTGTGCGAGATGTGCGGGGTGAAGAGCGAGACTGTTTCTTTACCGACTGACCCGCCGAGATTTATGACGAGCGGCGAGTTCCTCGCACGGGACAGCCTCTTGGCGATCCAGTCCTTGTTCCGAGGGTAAGTTGAGAAGTGGGTCCAGAGTGTCGAGTCGTCGAGCGCGACCTGACGCCAGCGCTGGCATACATGTGTGACGTAAACCCAGCCAAGCCCCATAGTGGGGGGATAGGGCTGCTCCGAGAATGCGGTGAAGTGGAAGATGCGCGCGAGGATCTCCGCAGGGAGGATGCAGATCGGTACAAGCATGTTGCGGCGGGTGAGCATAGAGAGGACAAAACGCTTCGCGGCATCAATGTCCCGGTAGGCTGTGGCAAGGGCCGCCGCGCGCGCCTTGGGTGTTTGGATGGCAGATTGGAACTGGCTCAGCTCGCGTTCGAGGCGGGCGAACATGTCTGAGAGCGCAGGGGACGCTTGCGTGTTGCTAGACGCGAGAAATGTTTTGGCTCGGGCATCAGCCAGAGCGGGCGCACATCAAAAACACATTCCTACGTTTCGTGAGGGGCGATGATGTCGCTTCCTGTCATTGTTAGAAAGGTTGGTGTTTGAATCTGATGACGCAGAGCGACGCCCTTCATTATGAGGTCCGTATTGTTGAGGATCGTGCGAGTCGACATCGATTCCCAAGGTGCAGCACTGCGGAGCAGCCGCAGGACGTGAGGGTTTCCAATAGCAGGCGCACGGCTGCGGGTCTCCTGCGCATTACTTCAACGTCTCCGCAGTATATTTCTGCATCTTTAGGTCTTGAAGGCTATGGAAATGGTAACCTTTTGGAAAAAATATCAGTTACAACTACAAATTTGGCTCCTACAAGATCTCGCTGATGGTTCAACTTTCGGACTCGGCTTTCCCGTAGACTATTATTCCTCTTGCCCAGGTAATCATAGTCGTCTCCATAACAAGAGCACCACTCCGCACTGTATCTTGGCACCTGTACGTCCATGACGAGTCCAAAAACCTTTTCTGGGACGCTGAAGATGATTCCCTATCCGGTATTGTCGCCCGATGTTCAAATCCATTTGCCCATCCTATACAGTGGTTCCGCGACAAGGCATTGAGGATCATCTCCGAATGGAAGATGCAACCACCTATACCACCGTCGTCTTACTCTGTCTCCTTATCTTGACACAACCGCCGTCCGAAGTCTGAATCTCTCTCCGCACTGCTTTGTTGGGCTTCTTTGGTATGGTCCTTGTTGTCGTGTTAGCGTGGAGGTACGGGTCAGTGGGTTTAGTAAGTTTGGCAGAGTCGAAGTTCGAGGGAGGGAATGAGAGGAGTAGATTCGAATTTTGAACGATTCAAACACGAGTCGAGAAACTCGCGTTGCTGACTAAGGCGCGGGATGTCCGAGTAGACCGAGAATGGAGAGTATTGAAGGAAGAGGCTCCGAACGCGAGTCTGTACGGCGGCGCGGTAAAGCGTTCGAAGTCGGAAAGCGAGAGGCGAGAGCGGTGAGAAAATGCAGGAGAAGACTCAGAGTCGCACCGAAGCGAAGAGAAGGACAGAGAACGTGAATTGCGCAGTAAATCGCTGCCTCTCCGTGAGGCCGTTTAGATACATTTCGAAAGCCTAGATATGAGAGCCTAAAACAAATAAAATGTGTCGTACCGTTCTGCTGTGACAAGCAGATAGTAAGCTGCTGCTAGCCGTATGGGTATGGACGGCGATAGAGGCGGAGCGTCGACCGACGTGGGCGCGCGTAAGGTCACCGTCTATTACTAACGATGTCGAGCGGGTGGCGTATCGTACTGCAGAGTGAGAAAGACTAGAGGAAAAGATAAACAGGCATACGAAAGAGGTAAATACTACAGTCCAAACGCGAGTGGGAGTGTCCAAGAGGGGACCGATCAACGAAAAACGGGGCACGACGAGGTTGGACAGGGCGACGACTTGACATCGGTCAAGCGAGGTGTCTGACGGGCTTCGGGAGATGGGCAGATTTTTGGCGCGCGGTCGGTTTTGAGGATGAAAAGAAAGGGTCGAGGCGAAGAGGTCGAAGGGATGAAGAGGGTGGCTGACAAATCGGGACCGAATCGTTCTGTTCTGAAGCCTCACCTTACCTTACAGTTGTATCTCTTCAAACAATTCACTATGTATCTATTGAGAACTGTTCCAGTCCGGCTTCCGCTCGCTCCTTCGCGTCGTATACTTTTAATGGTCGTAACGGCGATCGTGGCGTGATAAGGCTATGCTACACAGTGCAGGCCTCTGAGTATGAATATATGAATGACTGATAGTAAGTTACATTCCCGAGACGTTTACTAGTATATACGCTCCTATGGCCAATCAGAAAAAACACACGGGGTAAGCTATCGCAATCTCTGGCAATGCATCGTGAACACCGAAGTGGAAACCTGCCAGTGAGCGAGGAGTGACCTCGATGAGGGCGGGATCATGATAGAAACAAGATTGTCCAAGAGCGCATTGTAACTTGAATGCCTCCAGCATACGACAGGTTCGTACAACCAGAACTAGTCATATGCAGCTACACAGTACCTCAGATTTCACAAGGCCGCCCCTTGGCGTGGAAGTCAAGGGTAAGAATACACGATACGCAGTACAACAAAGTATCGTACATCAGTCGCTGGAAAAAATATACAAAGACGTGATATGATACCAATACAACTTCCAGTGGGGCCGCGACGGCCACTAGAACTCAGGTTCCGAATCTGTCTGCGCCAGGCCGTGGTGAATCTCCCACAGCACATCCGGATCGCTAGGGTCCCAGTAGTCGTCGCCAGAGTCGTTGAACTCGGAGTCGCTGTAGTCATAATAGTCCGTGCGGTTGTCATCCGTGTCGACATAGTGATTGTCCCACCGGAAATCAGGGACGACCTTCTCGAGCGCTTCGGCTTGTTTCTGCCTGATCTCGCAGTGGTCGATGCACAACGTCGTCAGCGGCATCTCGTTCGCATTGCACTGCTGAACGGTATTCAGGACGAGATCGTACAGGACGCCCGAGCCGGGCACCGCAACAGTGAAATTCAGCGCCTCCAGTGACAGGCAAGTCAGCTTTGGGAAGATCGGCATGTGCACGGGTGCAAGCACATGGTTGTCGTCGTGGTTGGGCACCTGCGCCCGTACGCCTCTGCCATGGTCGCCGCCTTTCCTCTTTCGTCCTTTTCCACGGGCCATCGTTACAGTATTAGCACGTTTTGGTGGTGTGAGCGCCTCCAGGAGACCGATCGTCCCGCGCCCGTAGACTTGGACCGTGGTAACTTCTGCGCTGTGCTGAAAGACCTCGCTCCAATCTACGAATTGATTCGGGCTGGGGGAGTACAGGGAAAGAAATTCGACGTTTGAAAGGCACAACACGTCGCACGCTTGCCTGAGAATGTCCGCCTTGTTGTTGGGTTCAACAACGCCGTGGAATGATAGACTAAGCTCGGC